GTTCTTGTGGAGTTTACTTTCAGTGGATGAGACAGAGAGTAAATATGTTAGTTAGTTAGTTAGTTAGTTAGTTAGTTAGTTAGTTAGTTGCTTAGTTCATTTGTTCATTCATTAAATGATAGATTGTTATTAGTGTTTAAAATAAATAGTGTATTATCACAGAAAATAATGGAGAGGGGAGTGTGGGCAACTCTGGATAGAGTCATCAGGGAGGCCTCGCTGAACAAGGTGAGATCTAACCTGAGACCTGAAGGATAGGAAGGAGCCAGCCATGAGACCAACCAGGTGGAGGAAATGTACAGGCAAAGGCCCTGCAAAAAGAAAGAGCTTGTTGAGTCTGAGGCAGAATAAGCAGCTCAGTGAGCTAGGGGCTGATGAGATGAGGTTCAAGAGGAAGTCAGGAGCCAGATCACACAGCAACTCAGTGATAAGTGCAACAGGAAGCCATTGAAGAAGAACTCTGATCTGGCTGCTGTGTGAAGAATGAACTTGGGGGATACAAAGGTAGGAGTAAGGATGTTAATTAGGTAACTATTCCACAAAATTTGGTAACGATAATGGAAGCTCAGACTAGGGTAGCAGGAGGGAGAAGAAAAATTGTATGAGGATAAATCTGATATCTCAGTAGTTAAATAACACTCAATACATACAGAGTTTATTTTTTGCCTACATGAGACTCCAGTGTGAGTTGGGAAGTCCTTCATCTTGCAGCTCTACCATTTGGAATACATGGCCTTCAAGACACCCTATCAGGGAAAGAAAGAGATGAAGGAGGTATGTCATGGGTTCTTAACTGTTCTGACCAGGAAGTGCCATGTGTCACTTCTCTTCACAGCTTATTGGCCAGAACCAGTCACATGACTCCATTCTAACTGCAAAAGAGAATGGGAAATGGAGGGGAGGACATGAGATATCTCATAAGCACTTTGCAATAGAAATGGGCGTACTCAAGATACACTTTGGAGGTAGAAGTGACCTGACTACACAGATCAGATGTAGGGATTTGGGATAGTAATGATAAAGAAATGGGAAGAGTAAGGGATAATTCCCAGATTTCCCTCAATAGCAATTGGGTGTAGATTTAACATATCCCAAACTAAACTATTGCCCTTTCCTTCCCATGAATCTACTCTCTTCCTCCATCTTAGTTGGTGAAAATTCCATGTTTCTGGTTTCTCAGTTCCAAAGCCTTGGAGTCTTACCTGAATTGTACACTTTAAGTGGGTGAATTTTATCTCACTAAAGCTGTTACTATAGGTATATACATACATACATACACATCACACATATGTATATACATATACACACATACCTAGAATCTGTTCACTTCTTTTACCTCCACTGCTACTACCCTGGTTCCAGTTACCACCATCTCTCACCTGGACCACTGAAACACAGCAGCCAGAGTGATTCTGTTATAATGTAAAACAGATTAGGTCATCCTCTGCAAAACACACAGCAAAGACTAAAACCACATTATTTGCAATGGTCTACAAAGGCCTACATACTATGACCTCTCTTTTTTAACCCTTGACCTCACCTCCTCCTTCTATCATCTCCTGTTATTCATTCTCATCCACCCACACCAGCCTTCTTGCTATTCCTCCAATGTACCAAGGGTTCTTGTCTCAGGGCCTTTGCACTTGTTCACTCATACATCTCCTTCTCAATACTTTGCTCAGATTTTACCTTTATAATGGGGTCTCCTTGACTGTCCTATTTAAAATTGTGACCCAACCCCAACCTCAACGTGTTTAATCCCCTTTATTGTATCAACATTTTTAGAGCATTTATCACCTTCTAACATATTGTATAATTAATTGTTATAGCTAGCATTATTGTTCTGCCTTTCCTCACTAAAATGTAAATTTCAAGAGAATGTATATTATTGTTTTGTTCACTGATGCATTCCAAGCATTCAGTAGACACTCAGTATTTGTCGATTAAACAAATAAATAAATATGTGAAATGTGTCATCACACAGAATGGAGAAGTCTCTGGCCCATAGTAGGTGCTCACTAAATATCTGTTAATTCAATATCAATACAATATTGACCCACAGACTGGACTTAAAAATGTTTCCCACTGCATGAGGATAGGGATTAAATGAGATTATGCATAAAGTGCTTGACCCATAGTAGATTCTCAGTAAGTATTAATTTACTATAACTTTGCCTCAAAAGCTATGTTCTTCATTTTATTAGTCAGGATTATCCAGAGAAATAGAACCAATAGAAACCAAGAGATTGTGTGTGTGTGTGTGTGTGTGTGTGTGTGCGTGCACGTGCGCGTGTGTGCATGTGTGTATGTCAAGAGAGGAAGAGAGAGTGATTATAAGATACTGCCTTGTGTGACTATGGAAGCTGTGAAGTTCCAAGTTCTGCAGTCAGCAATCTGGAGGCCCCAGAGAGCCCATGTGTAACGCCAGTCTAAGTGCAGGGCCTGAGAAACAGGAGAGTTACTGGTGTAAGTTTCAGTATGAAAGTTGGCAGCCTGGAGACCCAAGAAGAACTCATGTTTTTGGTTTTGGGCTTTTTTTTTTTTTTTTTTGAGACAGTCTCACTCTGTCACTCAGGCTAGAGTGCAGTCGTATGATCTCAGCTCACTGCAACCTCCACCTCCTGAGTTCAAGCCATTCTTGTGCCTCAGGCACCTGAGTAGCTGGGATTACAGGTGCTCACCACCACACCTGGCTAATTTTTGTATTTTTAGTAGAGATGGGGTTTCATGGTGTTGGCCAGGCTGGTCTCGAACTCCCAACCTTAGGTGATCCACCCGTCTTGGCCTTCCAATGTGCTGGGATTACAGGCATGAGCCACTGCACCTGGTCTAATGTTTCAATTTGAGTCCAAAAAGTGGAATAAAAAAAGATATCCCAGCTCAAAACAGGCTGGAAGAGTTTCTTCTTATCTGTGGGAGAGTCAGCCGTTCTGTTCTATTTCAGCTTTCAACTGATTGGATGAGGGTCACCCACATTAAGAAGGGCAATCTGCTTTACTCAGGCTATTGATTCAAATGTTAATCTCATCTAAAAACATCCTCACAGACACAGCCAGAAAAATATTTAGCCAAATATCTGGGCATCCCATGGCCCAGTCAAGTTGACATGTAAAATTAATCATCACATCCATCTTAGAATATGATTTTTTCTCCTTCTATGTGTCCAAAGTCCAACCATCCTTCAAGGTCCAGTAAAGAAACACCTCTTCCTAGAAGTCTTCCACCACACTCCTTTTCACTCTGAGTTCTATACCATTTCTAAACTTTATTTATAGTCAACCTCAGATTCTCTCTGGGTAGATGTCTATGTATAACTTCTTTGCCAGTGCATTCTTCCATGAACTCTCCTGGTGGTGTTTCATTCACTAATGCTTTTTTTTTTTTTTTTTTTTGGCATATTCTTTCTTCCATACACACTCCACCTAGTCCTCCTGGCAATGTACACAATATGAGAGACAGGCATGCCTTCCAACTGTCTCATCACAAAGTTATAAGAAATAGAAGTTAATAAACAGGAAGCAACATGTAAAAACATAGAGTTAAAGAGATGACACACAAAAGCTAAAATTTCCATTGCTGCCAATATTCCAATCTGTAGATGAGTCTTTAACAGTCACCGAAGTAGGGAGCCCATGAGCCCATATTCTCAGGCCTGCCTTCTTCCTGACTTCAGTTCAGCATTCTCTAATGTGGTGCTTCAACTCTCACTCCTCCTTAGAGCCTCTGTCACCTCCAGTCTTCCCAGCACTCCAGTAGCCATGCTGTTATTTCTGGACCATCCTTAGCAGCATGCTTAACTTCCCATGATACTTGGAAATCTACTTTCTATGCCTCAAAGAATTAATGGAAGAGGAAGAATTCATGGAGAGACCTGGGGTTTGCCTTGCACAATGTCATCTTTGCAGCTCTGCAATCCCACATCTTCTCCTCCCATATGGGTTTGTATAGAGCACTTACTGGAAAATCCATTTGAGAACCCTCTAAGATCTCTACCCAGTCAGATAATTCTCCTCCCATGCACTTCTGGCCATGATGCTCTTTATATCAAAGCATCTACAAGCTGCAAAGTGGAGTCATCCTATGGTATATCTTTTCTATTGGACCCAAGCATACATTGGGTTGCTCCAGTTGGCCCCTAAGTCTGAGAGCCAATTCTTAGTCCTATCATTTTTTGTGTCTCCCTGACTTTTAGTAGTAGGCACTCCTCTAATCCCTGCTAATCACTGAGTGATACCAATACAGATCAGAGGATTAGCTAATTCAGTGGAGGGATGCTTTTTGAGAGTAGACATTAGGCTGCCAGTGGCTTCCAGTAGCCAAAATAGTTTTTATTTTAGGTGACAGGGGTCACATAAAGTTGAGGAGCACTTTAATGAGGAAAACATTTTTTGAGTATCTATTAAATATAAAGTATTGTACTGTAGCATTTACCAAGTGCTTACCATGTGTAAGGCATCATCTGATATGCTTCATATATATCCACATACCTTAAACAATTTAATCCTGAAAAGAACTCTAGTGAGGGAGCATTATAACTATACTCCCTTGACAGATGAGGAAACTGAGGCACACAGATGTTAAGTACAGCAGCAAATGGGCTATAGGAGACCAGGTAGATACATGATACTATCACAAAGAGCACAGTAAGACAAATACCACAAGAAAACAAAGCAGAGAGCGTAGTTCTCTCATCTGGGATTTCCGTATGTGCTTTGCCTACCTGGAGAATTTAACATGTCTTTCAAGACCCAACTCAAGATCTCTGCATTTTAGTAAAGGCTTCTCTAACCCCTGCCCCCAGCAGAGCTGTCTGCACCCTTCGTTGGCCCCTCCTGCTGGGACAAAGCATTGGCCCAGCCCCAATCACCTTGCATGATGACTGCTTCCATATCTGCCTCCCTCGCTGGACCATGAGTTCTCCTGGAGGGCAGGACAGATTGTGCTTCAAGGCCTTCTCAGCACCAACCCTTGTTGATGATACAGCAGTGAGGCAGGCTTACCTGAAGGCCTTCATCCTGAAGTGACATGTGACTTCCACTCACATTCCATTGCCCGCAGCAAATGGCATGCTTCTGGTTGCATTCCACACCTGAGACTTTGCCTGGTGAAATTCAGCTATGCCAAAAACAAAAACAAAAACAAAACATGGGGATGGGGACTGCCAGTTGGCTGAGTGACAAACAGGTGGTGGATGGCCAAGCCAAGTGGGCATATCATATTCACACCTGGGACCCCTGCAAAGAGGCACTTCTGGAACTGTAGGAAAGTTGTGAGTCTGGATGGTGTGGGCTATGGTGGAAGCCTTTGGGACACAGAAGAAGGAGCCCACGCTCCTTCTTCATAATTCTTCTTCTTAATTATCAGCCTGACCTTGGACAGGGCCCTTTCCCACAAGGGTCCTCTTTCTTTCCATAGGCAAAATATTGGGCTACAATCTTACTGTCTTGTGGTTCTAAGATTCCGAGCTCTTGACAACCATGCCAGGCACCTGCCTCATCTATGTGCCAAAAATGTTATCTACCCCCTAGTTTGGGATCCTGAGGAAATTTAGCAAAATTTGCCAAATACTATACAGAAATAGATAATTTTCCTTTCCCATCTTTAAAAATCGTCTTTTTTTTTCTACTGACAATTTTCTCCTCCTCGAATATTGAGTTCCATGAGTGAATAAGCTATGTCATCTCTAAGTTTCCAGAAATGTAGATTCCATGGAGTGAGGGAAAGAAGGGATGAAACATCTTTTCCCTTTCGTCACAGGAAGCTGCAGCACATTTCCAAAGTAAGATGGGCTTCTAATTATTAAAAATAAACTCTGGCCCACAGCCTTATTTGCACATTAATGTAGCCAGCAGATGCAGACTTGCAAACATGCTCTCTGGCTCCATACTGAGACCCAGCTTCTCTGCCCATTTTTCATGCTGAGATTCTCTAAGGACAACCATTTCTGTTTGGAGAACCATGAAATCAGCTAATTGCTCTCTCAAGGAAGGGGATGCTGCCCTGGGGCTTAAGGGGACAATGGGTCCCTAGAATATGACTGAGGAACTTAAGGAAGATGAAAGGAAACTTAAGATATGTAGATATATTGGGAGGCAGGGGTGGATGGATCACAAGGTCAGGAGATCAAGACCATCCTGGCTAACACGGTGAAACCTCATCTCTACTAAAAATACAAAAATTTAGCCAGGCACGGTGGCGGGTGCCTGTAGTCCCAGCTACTCGGGAGGCTGAGGCAGGAGAATGGCATGAACCCGGGAAGCAGAGCTTGCAGTGAGCCGAGACCGTGCCACTGTACTCCAGCCTGGGCAACAGAGTGAGAGACTCCATCTCAAAAAAACAAAACAAAACAAAACAAACAAACAAACAAAATATATATATATATGTATTAAGACTCTTTTCATATTAAGTAACAGAAACACCAACTGATACTGGCTAATGCAGAGGAAGCGGGGTGGGGGTGGGGTTGTTGCTATTTTGATTTGTTTTGTTCATGTACCTGAAAAGTCTAGAATGTGGGAGATGATTACTAGCATTAGAAATGGCTGGATCTATGCACTTAAGCAAGTTCATTAGGAGTCTGTCTTTCTCTTTCTTTAGCTCACTTTCCTCAATGTGCCCTTTTACTCTCAGGCAAACTCTTCTCAAGCTGTGACAAGATTTCATCCCCATAGGTAAATAACCCCAGTGAAGAGAAATTCTGTTTCCTACTAGTTCCCACAAAAGTCTCAGATATGACATTTGTACAGTTTGAATCACATGCTTAGTCCTCAACCAATCATTGCAGCCTTGGGATAGAATACATTAACTGGTCAGATCAGAGCACATGGAAGTAGGGTTAAGGTCCACCCCACTCACATCTCATGAACTAAGAGTGCAAAGAGGTAGTACCCTAAAGAAAAATCAACATTAAAACCTGGACTAAATATGTACGCCATTCTGAGGACTCTGTATAGTAAATACTAATAGGTAGATAGGAAGTAAGACCAGAACTCAAAGTACCATTGAATGTTATGAATTATTTTTCCCCTCTGTTATCCTAGGACCAGAACATGACATGGCCTGACACCCTGACGTGGTCATTAACATGAATAGAGAGCTCTAGGAAACACTCTATAGTTCTGGGTCAAGAAGTAGGAAAGGGAACTCCTACTCTCAGATGGGAATGGACTGAAAAACACCATCAACAAATAAGACCTTACTGACATTTATGGAATACCCTCATCCAACAAAAGCAACATTCAATTTTTTTCAAGTGCATATTAAATATTCACCAAGATAGATCATGATCCTGGATCATAAAACAAGTTTTAACCAATTTAAAATAAATGAGATTATACAAAGTATATTCTCAAACTATAATGGAATTAAACTGGAGATCAATAAGAGAAAAACCAGAGGAAGATATCTAAATGCTAACGTATTAAACAACACACTTCTAAATAATTCATAGGTCAAAAAAGAAGTCCCAAGAAATATGAGAAAATATTTCAACTGAATGAAAATAAAAATGCAACCTATCAAAATTTGTGAAGTGCATCTAAAATAGTGCTTAGATGAAAATGTATAGTATTGGTTAAAAAAGAAAGAAAGAAAAACAAAACTGAAAAAAAGAAAATAAAGATCTCAAATCAGCCATCTAAGCTTCCACCACAAGAAACTAGAAAAAGAAGAGTAAAACAAAACCAAAGTAACCAGAAGAAAGAAAGCAATAAAAGTAATGCAGAATCAATGAAATTGAAACAGAAAGACTATGGAGAAACTTAATCAAGTCAAAGGTGTTTTTTCAATAATTGAAAAAATCAAAATGTGTCTAGCAAGACTGATAGAGGAAAAAGAGAGAAGATACAAATGATTAATATCAGGAATGAAAGAGAAGACATCACTACAGATCCTGTGGCCATTAAAAATAATAAGGAAATAATACAAACATAATATAAATAAATTCAAAAACTTAGATAAAATTGAACAATTCTTGGAAAACCACAAAAAACAAAACTCATCCAAGATGAAATGAATAACCTAAATAGTCATATAAATATTAAAAAATTGAATCTATCTTTTAAAACCTTTCAAAAAAGTCATTTCCAGGCCTGATACCTTTATTAGAAATTCTACAAAATATTTAAAGAAGAAAAAAACATTAATTCTACACAATTTCTTTCAGAAAATAGAAGTGAAGGAAACATATACCCACTCATTTCATGAAGCCAGTATACCAAAAACATACAAAAACAGTGACAAATAGAAAACTGCAGACTATTATCCTTCATAAATATAGAAGCAAAATTTCTCAACAAAATAACAGCAACCAAATCAAAAAAACACATAAGTGGAATTTACAGCAGGAATATAAGGCTGATTCAATATTTGAAAATCAGTGTAATCTACTATATTAAAATTTTAAAAGACAAAATGCATCTTCATATGTAATCCAGAAAATGCATTTGACAAAATGCAACAATTCATGATTTTAAAAAAAAGCTCTCCATAAACCTGAAATAGAAGAAAACATCCTCAATCTGATAAAGAACAAATGTAAAAAGCCTACAGCTAACATTCTACTTAATGGCAAATTATGAATGTTTTTCTTATCAGATTGGGAGAAAGGCATGGATGAATTCTCACTGCTCCTTTTTAATATTGTACAGAAAGTCCTAGCTATTTGCAATAAGCACAGAAAAGAATCAAAAGGCATACAGACTAAAAAAGAAGAAATAAAACCTTCTATTTGTGGACAACATAGCATTCTATACAGAAAATCCCAAGGAATCTATAAAAGCTTCTAAAACTAATACCTGAGTTTAGCAAGTTGCAAGGCAACACACAAAATCAATCATATTGCTATATATTAGCAATAACAAAATTTTAAAACAATGTCATTCACAATACCCCTTCAAAAAATGAAATACATATATAAGATCTGTATGCTGAAAACTATAAAAAAATGTTTATGAAAGAGGTTAAAGAAGACCTCAATAAATGGAGAGATATACCATATTCATGGACTGCAAAACTCAGCATAGTTAAAATGTCAGTTCTTCCCAAAATGATCTACAGATTTAACACAATTCCAATAAAAATACCAGGAAGATTTTTTTTTAAATACTGACAAATGAACTTTCAAATTTATATGAACATGGAAAAGTACCAGAATAGCCAAAACAATTTTGAAAAAAGAATTACAAAGTTGGAGTACTTACACTACCTGATTGTAAGATTTTCTATAAAGCTTCAGTAGTTCAGATAGTGTGGTGTCAGCAAAAGGACAGGCACATAGATAGCATGAGGGAGTTCCTTGGGATGATCAAACTGTTCTATATTCTGATTGTGGCAGTGACTGCACAAATCTATACCTGAGTTAAAAGTCATAGAACTGTACATCCTTCCAAAAGTCAATGGTACTATCTTATATTTTAAAAATAAAATTTCTTTTTAGACCTTTTCATTGAAAAATAAACTTCCAAAGTGTTAAGTCAGTTCACTGGAGAAAAGAAAATCTTTTTTAACAGACGTGCTGAAACAATCCATATGGAAATGATGAACTTCAACTCTATCTTCATTCCATATGCAGACATAAATTAAGATCTAAGCATAAAAGTGAAAACCATAAAGCTTCCAGAATAAAACACAAAAGAATACTTTTTCATTCTTAGATTAGACAAAGATTTCTTGGGACATTAAAAAGCACAAAGCATAATGAAAACAATAGGTAACACAAACTTAAATTTTTAAATCCCTACTTATGAAAAGACATCATTAAGAAAATGAATAGGAAAAAACAAATAAGGGAGAGGTTTTTGCCACGTTTACATCTGACAAATGACTTGTGTATAACACATAAAGAATTCCTACAAATCAACAATAAAATGGCAAGCTAACTTTTTTAAACTGGGCAAATATGTTAAAAGATACTTCACAGAGGAAGATACACAGATAGCTAATAAGAAAGGGTACTTAACATCAAGCAAATTTTAACTACAGTGAGACACCGTTTTATGCTCACCAGAATGTCTATTCCAACAATACAAAATGTGGAACCTATGAACCATCTGGAACTCTGGTGTGTCACTGTTGGGAGTGTAAAATGGTATAACCATTGGGATATCTGAACAGCAGCTTCTACTAAAGTTACACATGCATCTATTGTACGCTTCAACACTTCACTCCTATTTCAACAGAAATGGCTTCACATGTGCACTTAAAATGTGGAAGAGGATGCTCATTGCAGTCTTAATCATAATATCCAAAACTGGAAATAAGTCAAATTTTTTCAGTAGTAAAATAGATAAACAAATAGTGGTATGTCCACATAATAAAATACTATTCCACAGCAGTAAAGAAAAAAACAACCTAGATGAATCTCAAAAACATTACAGTGGGCAAAGGAAGCTAGGCACATAATAGTACATACTGGGCGATTTTGCTCATGTCAAGTTCTAGGACACACAAAACTAAGCTAAGGTGGTAGGAATCAGAACAGTGGTTGCCTGTGAGCTTGGAAGGTTGGCTACAAATGAGCCCAAGATAACTTCCTGGAGGGATGTAAATACTTTGTAGCTTGTTTTGGATAATGGTTTCACAGCTGATTACAATTTTTCAAACTCATGAAATAGAACATTTTAGAGTTGTGCATTTCTATTGTATATAAATTTTTACCTCAATTTAGTTAAGAAAAGAAACCATTTATAAATGTAGCACTTTACTTTCTACAAACCATTTTCACACCCATTCCCCTATTCCCTCCATATAATCTTCTCATCAACCCTAGGCACTAGGAAGATCAGGATTATTGTACGAATGAGTAAACCGCGAGAGATCAGAATGACAGAGTGACTCCCAAGGTCACACACAGAGCAAGCTCTTGCCAGAGCAGGGACCAAAGCCCAGGTGTTAGGACTCCACAGTCAGTGCTCCTTACGCAATACCTTGTTTTTCAACATGTTTTCCCTTTCTCTCAGGCATTACAGAGATCCTCAGTGGCACAGTAAATTTCAGCTTCCTCAATTCTCACCACATTAATCTCTTTTGCATACTCAAATTCTGCCTAAGATTTCACTGAAAAGTTTGTGAATTACTGACTTTACAGATGCTAAAACAAGCATACATATCCAGGGATTTCTCTTTTCCTTTGCATACCTTTGTGGTATAATTTGGGAGACATTAGAGTCCAATTTTCACTCTGGACCAAAAGCAGTTACATCTGTTCGAAACAGTGCAGGCTCCAGGCACCAGCTATTATACCAGAGTACCTAGAATAGAAAGACAGGCTGGAGAGGAAGGGTTTAACCACAGTGTGATATCAGCCTAGTCATTCCGCCTCTCTGAGACTCAGTTTCCCCATCTTTCATACAAGGGGCCTGGACCAGATAAGCTTTAACTAAGTATCCAGTAAGAGGGTCTAGAGCTGGAGGGGCAGTATTCATCTTCTTCTGAAACCTCCCATATGAGTATTATCAGCCCAGGTATCCCACCTGAGGATTCTCTTTCCAGAGAAAAATCGCAAGTCATTGAGCTGAAGGGGACTCACCTCCATGCAGAGAAGTGACCAAGACCTCCAGGATAAATCGTCTTCCATTTCCTGTCCAAGGAGACTTCAAGGGATCTGACAACCTCTCTGTATTACTTATGGGCTAAAAAACTGTATTGTGAAGGCTTGGATCCCAGTCCTAGTTCCATCAATAGCTGACAATGCGACTCTGAACAAGACCCCTCTCCTCCAGGGACTTGTCACCTCACCCATAAAATGGAGTTAATGGCCCCTAATGCCTCCTGGGTTGTTGAGAAGATCTAATGAAGTAAAAGGTAAGAATACGCCTTGAACAGAATAAACTCTCTACCACCATTGGGGGCTCTCATCTTTTGGGAGAGCGAAGCCAGGGGCATCTTCTAGTACCTGTGATGCGAGCCAACCTTTTTTCCCCATCCCTGTGCAGTGCCACTCAGACCACTAGATGGCGGTAGCTGTCACTTGCCAATTCTGGAAAAAAGGGTGTGGGAGAGCCAGGGGGCCGCCTGCTTTAGGAAAACTAGGCCAAAGCCAGCCCGTTACATCACTTCTGATCCAAGCAGCCAGTTCAGTCTGGATTTTTCCTTATTGCAGGCGACAATGCAAAAAACTTCCAGGCTCCTGCGCATTTCAATGCTAATTGTTAGGCCTGAAAACAGCCTTTAACTCCCAAGGACTGGTCCTGCAGGCTCTGTCCCATCTTCTCTTGATACAGGCTTCTCTACTTATGGCCTCCTACTGCCCTCTCTAGATAACCCATACTAATATCCCACCCTCAGCCATGCGTCAAGTGAATTTCTCGTCCTGCCTTTAAATCTCAATCCCATTAATCAGGCACTTATTGATATCTACTTGTGTGCAAAGGCCTGCACCAGGGGCCATGCTGGGGTAAGTGGGACCCAGACCCTATCCTCAGGGGAAAGAAGGGGGGCTACAGACTACATAAGTTCAAATCCGCCTTTGCTTCTCACTTGCTATATGCGTGATTTGAACGAGTCACTCAAGTTTTCTCTTCTTCAATTTCGTTCATTTTAAAATGGAATTAATAATAGGCTTGTTTTATTTGTTAAATAAGTTCATACTGGCCAGTTCTTTGGCTTGGAATGGGGTCTAGCACTTATTTATTTAATAAATAAAATAATCATTTATTGAGTACCTATTAGGGGTAGGTACATTATCTGATTTAATGCCCATATTAATGGCTCGGAAAAACTAAGCAATTTGCACAAGGTTGTTTAGTGAATCAGAAGCAAAGTTAGAATTTGAACCTGGTCTGTCTGACTCCAGGAGCGCTGCCTTCAGCTGTTCTTACAGAAAGTGAGCAGCTAAACAAATGTACCAAGGGACCAGCAAACCTGCAGACTACACTGCCAGTCCCAGCCTCACAGCTGCAAATCAGGCATCCTAAACCTGCCGTTCGTGTCTCAGTGATCCTATCCTGCATTTAGCTCTAGCACTAACTGGGGACTAACACTAACCTCTAGCACTAACCCCTCCTTGGGACTCAATTTATTCACCTGTACACAAGGCAACTTGAAAGATCAGTATTTTCCACGCATGTCTAGTTGTCAAAATCACCTGGGGTCTTTCTTGAAAGTATGGAATTTTGAACTCCACGTTAGGTCTGCTAAAATAGAATCTCCAGGGGAAAGGTCTGCAGATCTATTTTTAACAAGTTATTCAGAAAATTCTTAGGACCAGGAAAGTTAGGAAAGCATCCTAGGCCCAGATGATCTTAGCAATTCTCCCAGCTCCTACTATCACTCAGTCGGGCTCTTGATCTGCCTCCCTAGAAACCCATCATGAACACTACAGTCCCTCTCCCTATGCCCCAGGATTTGACCCTCCTGAGCAATTCCCCATCCTGCATGGATTTGATAGCTCCTTCCTTCCTGTAAGGCGCTTAGGTTCTTAAGGGAGCTAAAGCTATTTAAATAATGAATGGAATTTACAGTAGCATTTGGAATCACTTAAGCAATAGAAACATGATTGCAGTAAAGTCTCCTTAAAAATCTTTTCATCAGGTTAGAAAGAAGATAAAGTAACTTCTCCCTTGACTTTCCTAATATGCAAATCAGGATGTTTTGACAAGACTCAATTCTAAATTTCTGCAATATCCATTTGGAAAGGTGTAATGTTCACTGTCAGAATAACAGTGCCCTGTTGCCCCAGTCTGATATACCCAGAAGTCGTAGGTGGAACCACTTTTCAGGCCAAGGACAGGGTTACAAGCTCCTGTGTCCTGGTGAGGAGCCTTGTGAAAAAAATGGGAAAGAAGCCGCAAGGCACAACGCCAGCCCCAGCTCCATTCTATCAGCTCGTACTATAAATCCTTTCGATCCTTGTTCTTCCTGTTTGCAGAGTCATCAAATGGCACAACTGAGCAATATTGGCTGCCCATTTTTCCTTCTTTCTGCTGCAGTCTCTCAGTTCCTGCAAGCAGCTGACCTCACTAACCTGAAACAGACCTGAAATTCTCACTGTTAGGCCATGCCCTTGGGCTTAGGGAATGTTTTCTGGAAGAGTATGTACCTTGGGTTGAGTTTTGGAAGACTGGTGTATCAGTCAGCTATTGCCGTAAGAATGCCACATAACAAAGCACCCCAGTACTCAGTGCTTACAGCATTCAGTTATTCTCACTCATACATGTGTGGGTTAACTGGGGCAGCTCTGCTGATCTCACCTCGGCTCAGCTGAGTTTGGCTCTGGCCTTCGGTTTGATCCAGGTACTCCAGATATCCCTCAGTTCTTCTTGGACCACCAGGCTAGCCAAGACATGTTTCTCTTATTGTGATGGAAGAAGCCCAAGAGGGCAAGCTCACCACTCAAGTCTATTTCAAGCTGCTGCTGACTTCACATCTGCTCACATCCCATTGACCAGAGCAAAGGGTAATGACATACAATCTGCCCAATGTGAGGCCAAAACAAGTCACAGAACACAGGAGGGGCATGGGAAGGTTAAAATAGAAAGAGAGTCAAGTACTTGGGGACAGTATCCTGCAGTTGGAATGACACCAGGGAGGGATCCTGGGGAAGCTAGAGCTAGGTTTCATTTGGAATTCACTTAAGCAGTAGAAAAACGGTTGCAGTAATGTCACACCAGGTTGTTTGCATCAAACAAATCACAATTTCAGCAAAAGATCAGATGGAGAAGAGACACTGAGTGACTATCTTGTCCCACCCCCTCAGCTTCCTGATAGCCTGATAGGAAAAGGGGCTTATGGAAGGTCATTAGGCAAGTAAGAAGCAGAATGAGGAATATTATCTGTGCCTAAGCAATTTTCCCATCTGAGATTCTCCTAAACAGTCAGGAAATTAAAATTTCATTTATTTGACAAACATTTATTTAGCACCCACTCTGTGCTAAGCACTGTTCTGGATGTTAGGAACAAAAAAGTGAACAAAACACTTTCATAAAGCTTCCATTCTGCTTGGAGGAGGAACACACTAGATGAACAAGGAAATCCATTGCATGGTGATAAGTGCTATGAGAAAAAATAAACGTGGCAAGGGCGATGGTTAGTGCCAAAGTTGGGGTTGTAGGGAGAGGAGGTTAATGTCATTGATTGGGTGGTGAAGGAAGGTCTCAGACAAGAGGATATTTGAAATGGAAGTTAAAGGAAGTGAGGGGAGGAGCCATGAAGATATCTCGGTGTTTTCAGCAGGGAGAACTTCAAGTAGGTCAGGAACAAGCTTGGCATGGACTGGGGTGAGCAAGGGGGACGTAGTGGTAGGAAAGGTCAGGAGGACAGCAGGGGAGGGCCAGATCATAAAGAGCCTTGGGAGCCATGGAAGGGCTAGGAGTTTTGATTAAAATGAGATGGAAAATATTGGAGAGTGCTGAGCCAAGGAGACACAAGAATGGACTTTGGTTTTAAAAGATCCTTTTGACTGCTGTGTTGAGAATAGATTGTAGGGGCTAAGAGTTTGGAAACTGAAAGCCAAAAAAAAAAAAAAAGAAAAAAGAGAAAGAAAAAGTGATGTCTATCAATTTAGAGGTTGATTTTGCCCAGGTTGAGGACGTGCCTGGTATAAAGAGACACAAACCACAATAGGATGTGTGGCTCATACTTTTTCCAGGGATGATTTTAAGGACTTCAATATTTAACAGGGAAAAAAACAGGCAGGCAGGGAAAGGAGAGAAAAAAAAGAGGGAGGATACGGTCACATTTTTCTGAGGCTTTGATTAGCACTCCCTGAATCCACATGTTGCATGTGAAAAGGAGGGGGCAGAGGAACAGTCAATTATGTATTCGTCTCGCGCTCAGTTAATCTGCACTTTACATAAGATAAAGTAAACACAGAGTACAGGAAGAAGTCGAATATAAATTCATCTCGGGGTAGGCGGTGGAAAGGGGGTACAATTTCTAGTCTCCTCTTGTCCTGTACCATAAAGATAAGCTGTTAATTTACATTGTCAGGGTAAGGGAGGCCCCCTGGGGAGACATGTGGCCTTCTATCTTGCAGCTATTTAGGAACAAAAGGAAAGGCAAGTTTTTTGCGTTACTTGGTCTCCAAGCTTAACTTTTCCCTTGACGTGTTGAGTTGAGGGTCTCAAGATTTTATTTTCCTTTCACAGCGGCAATTGCTGTAATCCAAGTTAGGGATGGTGATAGTGGCTGGAACCCAGGGGCTGGCATTCCAGGTGGTGAGAAAGGGTCAGATTTAGGATCAATTTGGATGGTAAAGCTGAGCCCATTCTCTGATGAATTAGATTAATGTGGTGTTAGAGTTTGAGGTCAGAAATGACTCCAAGATTTTTGTCTTGACTGACTGAATAGATGTAATTGCCATTTTCTGAGTTGGGGACTGTTGCAGAAGGAGCAGATTTGGGTGGGCAAATCAAAATGCATGTGTAAGGGGCTGTTGCCTCCCCATACTTTCTGGCTGGCCATATGCAGCTCCTTTCCCCAATCCCAGGGCAGGTTTAAGAGTTTCTGTAGCCAAATATAGCCACAATGGTGCTTTGCTCTGATACATGTAGTAATTTTCAGTAAATGCTTGATCATAGGTTAGGATCCACAGGAAGCAGACCCTAAGATGAAGTTTAGCAGGCATGAGGTTTATTAGGGAGTTGATCTTGGGGTCACTGCCAGTGGAATAAAGGGGAGGAGGCAGATTGGAAAGAGGGAGATAGTGAGCTGCAATGCGGTGTCAGAGAAGCATGGGGAGTTCTGAAGATGAGGTGATCCTTCAGAACTGCCTGAGTTGGGGCAGAAGGCTGAGAAAGTGGGCTGCTGGCCACCGGGGGCAAAGCCATTCTTTTATCTGAGGCAATCCCCAAAGGGCAGAGAGCTGTGAGCTGTACCACTGCCAGCAGCTGGGGAAATATGTCCTTCATTCCTAAAAGCAGATCTAGGTGGCACATCACAATGCCGAACACATCCCCTCATGCCAGACATGAAGAAGCAGGCTGAGTTTGTTATGACCATCTCTTCTCCTGCACTAATAATTCATGGCTGGTCAGCAAATGGCAAACCCATCTGAGTTCACAAGCTTTCCAGTCAGAGATGAGGCAAGATAAGAATATCTTGACAATGAAAATAAACACAAATGGAATTCCCGGTGGAAGGATGCCACCAATGGAACCATGGATTGCAAGTGCAGCTGTTGGCCAGGCTCAAAGGGCAGACCCAACCCTGGTAACTTCTAGTCAAACCACTCACTCTCATCTTTGGAACTGTGGTTTAAAACATCAATCTTCAATACATACAAAGTTGAGGAGGTTGGATAAAAATAGTGAACCAGGCACAATCTCCACATTCCCCTTCTTATCCTAAACTCCTAGAAAAAAAGAAATAATAATAATAAACATTGATGATAACAATAATATAAATAAAATATCATATAATCAGTACAGCATATAAGTAAGAATGTAACAACATACAATAATAAAAATCCATAACAGTGCAGGAAAAAAAGAAAGGGTACCCCCAGTGATTAAAAAGTTAGGAATGACTGAAAGGGAAAGGCAGATGGAGAAGACTAAAGAAGGAAACCACATCCCAAGAGCACAAAGAAGAGACCTGCTACAGGAAATGAAGGAGTACCAGCATCCAAGGCAGCAGGAGTACCCAAGGATGACTGATAGGATGATTGCTTGGGGTTCTGAAGAAAATCAACCTCATGAAAGAAAAGTCCTAAATTTAACCATCTGAAGAACTAAATTGGACATGAAGAACTAAATTTAACAAACTGAAGAACTAAATTCCCATGGAAAGAATTAATAGAATCAATAAGAAAATACTTTATAAAAGTCTAATCAGTATTCTCATGCAAGGGAATGTAGCACACATACAAAATTATCAGATGAAGACCTTGGAAATTACAAACTTGAGTATTGAAATTTTAAAAAATCAATATATGAGCTGAATAGCAGAATAGATAAAAAACCAAGAGAAAATGACTAAGCTGGAAAACTCAACCAAGGACTTTTCCCAGAAAGAGAACACAGAAGGAAACACACATGGAAGTTAAGAAAAAAGTAAAGAGAAAAGAGAAATGGAGAATGAATTCAACAGCATGATAATCCATTTAATAGGAATTCCAGAAATTGCAAATAAGAGTGAAGGAGAAGAAATAATTAAGAGGCAGAGAAAAAAAAAAGATGGAAGTCTTTAGATTGAAAACAAAAGATAGTAGTCATTAGATTGAATGGATCTATCGACTGCTGAGTAAGTAAAATAAAAAGACCCACACTTAAGCTTTTTAAGAAAAATTTACAAGGAAGAAGAGAAAATTCTTCCAACAAACAAAACAGATTAATCAACTTTGGCTGCCACGGCCAAATACCACAGACTGGGGAGTTTAAACAATGGAAATTTATGTCCTCACAGTTCTGGAGGCTGGAGAAGAAAGAGAGTAATAGGAGAAAGTAAGCTAAAAAGAAAGAAAAGTTTTTAATATCTTTTGCTGGGAGGATCTAGGAAGTGATTGACTCTAAATATCAATATGTCTCTTAAAATGCATCAATGCATCAATCTATGGGTTAGTGATAAAAAATAGGATGAATAATTTCAAACAATTATAGAAGAAAAAAATGAAATGAAAAGTCATTTAAGTGGAAAATCTTAGATTTAGAAACTAACATCCAGATACGTGATGCTTGTAAGATACACCTAAAGCAAAATGAGACAGAGAGGTTAAAATAATGGAAATAGCTATGTCGTGCGAATTCTAAGAAAAGGAAAGCCAATTTGTAATAATATCAAACAAAATAGAGTTCAAGGAAAAGAACAATGAAAGGAAGTAGGGGGATGGAGTATCCATGTTGATAAAATATAACATCAATAGAGAAGATATCTCAGCTATGATCTTTTATGCACCCAGTAACTTAGCTTCAATACAGAAAGCAAAAACTGAAGGATATACAAGGAGAAAGTGTTAATCTACAATCATGGTAAGAGACCTCGTTATTCACCTCTCAGAAATCACCTGATCAAGTAGCTGTGGATCAGGGACAGTTAGAGAGAATTTGAAGAACATACATATTATAATTTTACAGTGTGATCTAATAGACATAGATGTTAAGAAAAGGAGACTTCATTATTTTCAGTCACACATGGAACATTAAAAAAAAAATTACTCATGTAGTAGGCCACAAACGAAATCTCAACAAACTTCATTAGAAAGAAGTCAGACAGGTTACCTTCTGGGACAAAATGTAATAAAATTAGAAATTAATAACAAAAAAATGGCCAAACAATTCTATGCACCTGAACATGCTAAATACTTTTAAAATAACTCTTAGGTTAGCAAAGAAAAAAATATTACTATTTAGAAATGAATAACAAGGAGAGGCCATATATCAAAAACCTGAGATATATACCTAACTCATGAAAATGTATAGTCTCAAATAAAGTTCTTAGAAATGAGGAAAAAATTGAAAGCAAAGTCAATAAGCTCTTTAATTCAAGAAGTTAGAAAGAGAAAAACAAAATAAGCTCAATGAAATTAAGAGGTAGATATTAATAAAGATAAAATGCAAAAATTAACTAGAACACAAAAAAATCAATAGTATAGATCAATAAAACTAAAAACTGTTTCTTTGAAAATATCAATGAATTAGAATAGCCTGTGGCAAGACTGAGAGTGAGAATAGAGTGAGTAATGGTCACAAAAATCAACAACATTAAGACATAATAGAGACATAACATACAAAGCACATTTTAAATTAAAGAGAATTTAGACCAAAATATTTTAAAATCTAAATGAATGAATAATTTCCTGGGAAACAATAAATCACAATAAATAATAAATCACAAAAATTGGTTCAAGAAGAAAATCATGGAAGACCAATAATCGTATAAAAAATTGAAATAGTAATTTAAGATCTACCCCCACTAAAGTACACCAAAGTGAGAAACTTTATGGTCAAGTTCTAGCAAACATTCAAAAAATCCATAATCCCATGTGATATACTATGCAGGGCATGGAAGAAGATTAAAGCTACTCTAACTCATTCCATGCAGCTACCATAACCAAATACCAACAGTGGGCGGAGAAAACGTGAATGAAAGGAACAAGCCAGTATTATTTATGAGCAAAGATACAAAAATTCTATCTAAAGTATTAGAAAGTCTAAACTAGTAAGGTATTAGGAGCAAAAAATGTAAGAATAGTCCAACATTAGAAAGCAACTGATGTTCCTCACTAGAGTAAAATCATCTCAATAGATACTGTCAACTGATGCTAAAATTTAATATAATTTAACAACAATTTCTGATTAAAACTAACAAATTCAATTTGTAATGTTTTTATACCATAGACCCACGGTATACATCATAGTTAATGGTAAAATATCAGAAACAATCCTTTTAAAATCAGCAGCCAGGCAAAGATGTCTATAATCACTATTACTTTTCAATATTGCCCTGAAAGCTTACATAAAGACAAGAGAAGAAAATAAGAAATGTAACTCTGAAGAGAAAGAGACAAAACTGTTAGTATTTGCAGTCAATATAACCATCTATCAGAAAAACCCACAAGAACCAAATGTGAGTTAAACAAGTTGACTACATATAAAGTCAACACACAAAATTAATAATTTTAAAGTAGCACAGCAATAACTTTTTAGAATATTTATTTTCATAACTCTATTCACAAAAGGGAAAAAAATGGAAAATATCTGAGACAAATTTCATAAGAAATGTCAGCAGAAGTGGTATAAAGAGTTAGGACGTGAAGGGAAACCCAGTTGTGATGTTATTAGGTGGAGTAGAGCTTAAATACTCTACTTTTTGTTTTTGTTTGTTCTTTTTGGTTTTGTTTGTTCTGCTTTTTAGTTTTTCTTATTATTTTGCTTCAAATGATATTTTCTTTTAAATTTTTAATTATTATGGGTACATAGTAGATGTATATATTTGTGGGGTACATGTAATGTTTTGATGTAAGTACACAATGTGTAATAATCACATTGGGGTAATTGGGGTGTCCATCATCTCAAGCATCTATCAGTTATTGGTGTTAGAAGCATTCCAATTCCACTCTTTTAGTTATTTCTAAATACACAATACATTATTGTTGACTATGGTCAGCCCATTGTGCTATCAAATACTACCACAAATTCATTCTGTCTAACTGTATTTTTGCACCCATTAATCATCCCCACTTTTTCCCCTGCTCCCCACTGCCCAAGCCAGCCTCTGGTAATCATCATTCTACTCTCTATCTCCATGAGTTCAATTGTTTTAATTTTTAGCTCCCATATGTGAACATTCAAAATGTGTCTTTCAATACCTGCTTTTTAGGTTCTATTTCCCTTACAGTAGAACCAAGCTCAGACAGCAAAGGCCAAATTCAAACACCTGCTTGTGGATCCAAATGTGCCGGGCTTTGCAGGTTCAGTATTTCATTAGCAATTAAGAAAATATATTTTCTGGAAGCAGAATGAGAGCATACATTGCAAGCAAAGGGAAGGGAGCAGAAAGAAAATTTGAGGAACATAGAAAACAAAGCCTAGAGACATGCTAAAACTTCTCATGGTCGGTCCTGAGACCGAGGTGAAGCTCAGGAGTGGGAGAGGAGAGGTCTCTCCCCCTACACATGCCCCAAAAAACCAGGGTGGCCAAACAGATGGTGCAAAACATTTTTAAACCACTTTTAACACAGTAACTTTTTTTTGCCTGCTTGCTCTTTATTCCTTTAGTCAAAAGTCTTACCAGCTGTCACCATCTCAAGGAAAATGTCAGGGGCTTGTGGCTGCCTGTGCCTCTCCTCACTTTGGTGGGGGAGAGAGGTGTGGAACCTCAGCCAGTTACAGTCCTGGCTGCAGAACTGCTGAAGTGGCCGAGGGTAGGGGGAAGGCCTCTCACAAAAATGAACCCACCATGGAGGCTCCCAGCCAATCTCTTCCACGTATCATCCCTTCCAGGGACTAAGCATACATACTTTCCAAAGTACTTTCCCTAGGTTCTTGTCTCCTCTGGACATCCCTGAGACAAATATTATTCCCATTGCATGGAGAGAGCAATGGCAAAGCCCGGCTTCTAGCTTTGCAATCTACCATCTGTGGGTTTTTGGAAAAGTTCCTTTTCTTCTCTGGACCTTAGCTTCTCCACATGCACAAGGAAATTGTCCAAATATTCTCCAAAGTTGCTTCCAACTCTAAAGCTCTGATGCATTGTCTAATACCAGTTAGACATCCCCGATCCTCCTCTCTGAATGACAGTTCTGGCTGCTGCTTCCCTGACCCCTTCCTTCTGCCCCAGGGAGAGCTCAGTATACACCACATAAATCAGAACCTGAGAACCGCAAGAGGCTACCAAAGTCACTTCCTTAACTTTTCTTTTTTTCCTTCTTTTTCAAACACCAATAAGTAACTTCTTTAAATGGAAGCCAGGTAGGGCTGTTGGTTTCCAGCTGAATCAAAAAAAAAAAAAAAAAAAATTGATGAGTAATTTGCTGAAACTAATTCCCCCATCTTTTAAAAATCACACATTTAAACTGATTTAAAGAGACCTTTAAAGAAGAATTTAAATTTTCTTTCCTCCTTGTTTAACTATATAATTGTTTTCACTCACAGTAATATTCTCTTGGAGGCATATGCTTGACTTACTTAATAAATCTTTCTGCACTTTTGAAATCATCCATTAGCAATAAGGAGCTTGACACTCCATTACCCACAATAAATTTCACTGCCATTAAATCGCCACATGCCGCATGGAGGAAAAGAGATACCAGGATGGCCTCTCTAAGACAGGGCAGATTCAGAGCTCAGCATGGAGCCTGCTCCAAGCCTGCCTCTCAGTCTTTAGCCCATCCCTGGGCTCTCCTGGCAGTCAGGGTATCTATCTAGCCTATCTTGGGGCTGACCCAGAGAGACAAAGTTGGGTGGGTAAATCCATATCTACTCTAAGGCTCATCTTTCTCATTCAGTGGGTTTGGGGCTGGGGTCCAGGCAGTAGCACCCTGTGGCTAATACCTTTAGGACATGGCATGGAGCAGGGCAAACCAGAACGGCCATCAGGCTCACCCTTGGTCCTAACACAAAACTTCAGCATCCCAGCTGGCCTTGACACAGAGCCCCAGTCCTCTTGCACATCATGTACGTGGTACAGCTGATAAAGAAAAGTCAAATGAGTTCACCACTTTCCTCTACCGTTGCCAGCTGGCTGCATTCTCAGGGGACACTGAAGCTCAGCTTACAAGCTTATGACGTCTCTGCTTACCACGAACGGGCAGCTCCAGCGTGGAAAGAAAGAAAGAAATCATTGATTGGGAGGACCTCAGAATCAGAGCTGAAAGAGACCTCAGAGGCCATTGATTCGGGGAGTTCTGAAGCTTTGGTATGTCAGCATCACCTTGGGAGCTTATTAAACATACTCATGTCCAGCCCCTCCACACACCAAGGAAATTCTAACTCAGAAGGTCTGGGTGGGCCCGGGTGTCTGAAGCCTCAAGAGCAGCAAATGCTGACACATCCAGATTTTTAAAAACCAGTGATTTGGCTTCCAGATTCTCAACACTGGCTATACAAAGTAATGAGCTGGGGCCAGGCGTGGTGGCTCATGCCTGTAATCCCAGCACTTTGGGAGGCCAAGGCAGGGCAGATCACTTGAGGTCAGGAGTTCAAGACCAGCCTTGCTAATATGGTGAAACCTTGTCTCTACTAAAAATACAAAAATTAGCTGGGCGTGGTGGTGCAAACCTGTAGTCCCAACTACTCAGGAGGCTGAGGCAGGAGAATCACTTGAACCCAGGAGGTGAAGGTTGCAGTGAACCGAGATTGCACAACTGCACTCCAGCCTGGGCAACAGAGTCTCACTCTACCTCAAAAAACAAACAAACAAACAAAAAACCCAAAACCCATGTAACGAGCTGGGAAAGGTTTAAAAGTACCAATTCCTGGGCCTCATGCCACACTGATTAAATCAGGATTTCTGGCTATAAGCCTCAGACATCAGAATTATTTAAAAGCTCCCCAAGAGATAACAATAGGCCATTGAAAACGACTGTATGGGTAGTTGTTTTCCCTTACCGAAGGGAACTAAGGCACAGAGAGGGGTTGGAACTTGCCCCAAGTCACACAGCAAGTGAGAAGGATTGCTGCATAGAACCCAGGTCTCCACCAGTGTGATGTGAGCTCCTTGTGTGCGCCAAGGTACGTGTGGGAAAGGAACAAGTTGGGCTCAGGTTGGTTACTGGTGCCCAAGGAAGAGTGCCATGCCCTGGAAATAACTGTCACTCTTCAGGGAATCAAGCACCTAGGCTGGGTCAATGTTGCTGGTCTGGGACCACACTTTAAGTAGCAAGGGTCCAGATCCCTTTTATTTACCTCCTCCTCCCTTTGCAATCCCAGTATTCAACCGTCAAGCAACAATTCCCAGTTTTCCACAGTCTCTGCACATAGTAAGGTCATGGAAATGAATGCACTTTGTCATCTGTACCTTAGGGAGGGATGCTAAGTGTTGTGAATGAATGGCATGTCAGGTAGATCCTGCCCAGATGGTAAGTGTTCTGAGGGCAGTTCTGAGTCCCCTTCTCTTGTCTCTCTTGGATTGGGCTGAACAGTCAAAATTTGAAGCATGCCCAAGGCCCTGCACGGCCTTGAGCAAGTCACTTCCTTGCAAGAGTCCTACCTGTAAAACTGGGATAGCTAATACTCACCTCCTAGGATGTCATTTGGATTAAATGAGACATTGGATGGAAAGGGCCCAGCACAGGAGGGATGTGTAAAACATAGTTGACTGTCTCCATTTCCTTACAGAGATGCCACAAACAAGGCAGAGACACTGAACTCAGGCTGCCTGGGTCCAATCTAGACCGTTTCACTTCTTAGACCTGGGGCAAGTGGTTAACTTTTCTGGCCTTGATTTTCTCTTCTGTATGAAAACAGCATATGCCACAAAGGGTTGTTGTGAAGTTTAAATTAGAAAGTGCATTTAACGTGCTTAGCACAGTGCCAGGCACACAACACAGTAAGCACGCCATAAACAGCTATTATTTTGGCTACTGTTGTTGTTACTATTGGTGCTGCAGATCCCTGACCTCCTTTACAATCAGCAGGGCAAATGTTGGGAGTCCTATTCCTGTTAATGGTGGGGACTTGCATGAGACTTTCCACCTTAGGAAACAGACATATCATTATTGCAGTGAGGATTGCAAAGTAAGCCAGAAAGAACTGGCTGGATTTTCAGCCCCCTAGCCTCGGACTCCAGTCCTCAGGGCAACTAGGCAATGGTGCCCTTCACATGGCAGGAGGGTATCCCCTGTTGGTGCCTTATGGAGTCTTGTTTATTCCTCTATTAGGGTACTTGTAACATCCGAGTTCAATCATTTTTTTGCCCTCCAACCAAGACCCCAGAGTCTAGGGCCAAGCCTTTTTCAACTGTGTGTCCCTTTTGAAGCCTGGGAAGCAGTAGTTTCTCTAGAATGTTCACTGGATAAATGAATGAGTGAGCTAATGAATTCATACTGGAAATTTTTATTGAATTTAGTAAAGCTAAACATCTTATTACCCTTTTTGGAGTTGAGCAGTGTGGTGGAGCCCCACTAAAAAGAGCAGGATCTACTACTTATCTCAGGACAGCCAGCCCCGTCAAGGATGGGGACAGTTTGGGAAGAAAAGGGAGCCCACAGGATAGAGGTTTTCTGCTGGCAAAATTCTCTTAATTCCATGTCTGAACCAGGGAAATTTATCTGATGCTCTTGGAAGCAGAGTATGGAAACTGTGGAGAGGGTTCCTGGAAGGAAAGTCAAGAGGAAGCCTAGAAAGGTAAACTCTGTCCTAGACTGATATCCTGAATCCAGAGCCTCCAGACCACAGAACATTGGGTTAGAGCTTATGAATCAGAGTGAATGCTACCATTTGACTTTGCTTCACCATCACACAAAAGCTTGAATTTCCACTAAAACTGCAATTTAATACTTTAACATAGGGACTCCTCTACCCTAGCAGTGGTGCTGAGTTCCAACCCATTTGTTTCCCCAAAATGGGCAGCATAAGCTCCTTAGAACCATTTCAGATGGTCCCAGCACTGCACAGATGGGGAAAGCAACCAAGAGAAGCTTTGCATTGCCAGGAATATTGATGGTTGGAATGTAATTGCTATTGCAGTGATCCAGGAGCACGCTATGTTGCAAATGAACAGAAACCTGTAACTCTTGCATAATTAAGTCACTTAACTCAGTAAAAGATAGTATTGTCTTCCTCCTTGTCTTCTCCTTTAGAAGAACAGAAGGTCACAGTCATGGAACTTAAAATAGACCCATAAAAGCCAAAGGTAAGTAGATAATCAAAAGAAATGTGGTAAAGTTGGTCTTCTACTGCACTGTGCATTGAGCATGAGGCAAGAGCAAAATTAATGGGCTCAAGCAAAGTTTAAATGGAGGTAGGCATCTCTCCAACCTTAAGGGCTTTGGGGATTTGTGAAGGTGAGAGATGTCCTTGAAGTTAGTTTCACCTCTGCCCAGGCTCCTTGGAGCAGGGACCATGTCATTGTCAGATTCATGTTACCATCACCCGATACAGTCTTGCTCCCGGCCCATAATAGGTGCTCGACATGTGTTTGATGAGTCTCCAGGATGGTGTAGAAATTACTCATAATTGAAAGAAGACTATGTTGAAAAAGAGAGAGAAGCTTTGCTAGAGGTCAACAAACTATAGCCTGTGGGCCAAATCTGCCTCAAACGATTTTTGTACAGCTCACAAGCTAAGAATGGTTTTGACATTTTTAAATAGTTGGAAAAAATCAAAAAAAGAATATTTTGTGACAGGCAAAAATCATCAGTGTCCATAAGGTTTTATCAGAACACAGCATATTATTGATGGCTGCTTTTGTGTGTTACAATGTGAGAGTTGAGTAGTTGATATAGAGACTATATGGCCCACAAAGCTCCAAAAAGTTTACTACAGGGTCTAATCCTTTACAGGCTTAATCCTCCTGTTCTAAACCTTTAAAATTGGTGAAGAGTTGGGAGAGAGTGAGATACACACACACACACACACACACACACAGAGAGAGAGAGAAACTTGGTAGCAGAGAAAACGGCTTAACAACCAGAATGTGTTAGTCAGCTTGGGCTGCAACAACAAATTGCCATAGACTTGGTGGCTTAAACAACAGACATTTGTATTCTCATGATTCTGGAGGCTGTGAAGTCCAAGATCAAGGCACCAGCAAATTCAGCGTTACAGGTGGCCATCTTGCTGTATCCTCAGATGTCAAACAGGAGAGAGAGAGAGCACAAACACAAAACCCACTCTGGTGCCTCTTTGTGTAAGGACACCAGTCCCATCATGAGGGCTCTATCCTGATTATCTCATCTAAACCTAATCAACTTTCAAAGCCTCCATCTCCAAATACCATCACATTGGAAATTATGGTTTTAACATACTTGGTGGAGGTCAGGGAATACATTCAGTCCACAGCACAGAGTTATTAAAAATGATATACATAGCCTTGAAAAGAAGTGTTTTCTCTCACTGGAAGTGTCTGAAGATAGACATGCACTTCTCAGAGATGCTTTCAGAAGTTTCAAGAATTAGGACAGGGAAGAGGCAGATGATCTTTAAACCCCCTTCCAGCCCTGAGGTGTCCAGAGTTTATGACTCAGACACAATTGAGGCCAGAAGGTGCCAAGGGGACTCTCTGGTCTAGGGGTCTCTTATGCCTTTGGGTTTTCATATTACATTCTCCCTGCTCTGCCTGTCTTATGGGAAGCTTTTCTAATTACAATGAGCTAGAGGCTCCACTGAAGATTTTTCATCTTTCCATCAGGTAGGCATATCCAGAGATACTGGACTGTAAATTCTGAATGTATTTGTTAAACCTAAGTGATAGCAGTTGCTGACAAGGGGAAAGTTATTTCTTTATTCACCAGGTCTCAAAGTTTTTGATATGAGTCAGTCTTCAAACATAAAGGTGACTTTGCAATTGCATATGGTTTTCTGTGGGACCACTATTTCTCATTTGAAGCCGTAAGAGACTGATGTACCTGCAGTTCCGGTCTTCCATCTCAAAGGGCTCTATAAGCTATCTTAACTTAAAAATTTTCCTTTTGATATCAACACAGGCCAGATTTGGGGTTAGGTGTTGTAGTGGGGATAGGCATGGAAGCTGTTCTTT